AAATAAAATAAGGCATATTAAAACTGTGACCCTTGAAAAATGTATTTTTATTTTTTGGCCTTTGTCGTCAAAAAAGTTTTCAGCCCCTGATATAGATGACATAGTAAATTGTATTCCTATTCGATGAACAATACCAAATATAACAATAATTTCTATGGTTTCATGTATTGTTCACCACATTCTGTTGGCTACAAATTGAAATAAAAGTATATTTAAAAATAATATTTTGGACTGAATTTATAACGTTAAGAGACTTTTTATAATAATTTAAACTTTAAATAACTATAACTGAAATCAATGTATTATAAAAAAGTTAGTGCATAGATATAGAACAAGATTTAAATTTTGCATTTGAAAATCGCTTCTCGCACGTAACAAAACAACCTGAATTCCAAAGACCTAATAAACCCCTCAGTCCTCAGTATTAATTATATTTTAATTACATTATTAAATTGCGGTTATCTTCCTAAAATTATTTCTTCGTAGAAAATAGATTTAAAATGTATGGTTTTATTATTTTTGTGATATAATATTATTAATGAATGGAATACTTTTATTTTTGAAATCCTTAAAAATAATTGTTTGCGTTTATTGAGGCGTATAATGGGACATCTTAGTCTACCTACCTTTAGACATTTTGAAAAATGAAACCGACAATTCGATAACGTCTCACTCATAACATAAATTTATATGTTTTACTGCGGCGTGTAATCGCCGTATTGAACGCGCACAGTACGTCGCATTAACTTTTTTCGGCCAATGGAGTTTTTTCACGGCGATCATTACTCAACAGGAAAAAAATCAGAACGTCTAACCGAGTACCGTCTGAAGTGCGGTCACCGTTATGTCGATTAGAATTTTAAAAAAATGAGAAATTAACTCAACCCGATATCTACGTAAAAAATCAAAGTGGTGTATTTTCCTGCACGTGTTTTGTACTATAAAATACGTCATCTCTGCCACACACACACACGCGCACATACACCTGGATATCTGATAACACTGACGGTCCTTATCAAACATTAATCAACCATAATGTATAGTATTATTACACGAGCGTTGTATCATATGCGGCATCATCATCATCATCATCATCATCATCATCGTCGTCGTCGCCGTCATCATCGTCATCGACGTCAATCGGTGGCTTGATAATATAATATATAATAATATAGTCGGTCCAATTTCGGACGGATGACCCCTATGAGGGTTTCATGACCGAGAGGTGAAATATATTTACGAACACATTATTATAAATCATCGCTGCACCACTTCGTCCACCAGGCCAACACCATCGTGATGTGATAGTATAATATGATTATACCGCGACGTACCGCCCAGTCTAAATCATTTCGTCTATTATCACGCCACCGCTCTCACACGGTCGTGGATGCCCACGAAAATTCCAGTTGGGTTCAGGTATAATAGGTGTGCGTATTTTTATGGCGACGGGAGCTAAACAAATCAAATCCTTTCCTCTGCTTTTGCCCGCCATGCACTCGCCCACCACTGTACAGCCCTGTGATGATGATGATAATAATAATAATAATATACAACGTCGACGGAGGGCGATCGAAGGAGGTGGATTTTGAATCATTATACGCGTCCGTCGTGCCATATATCGTTTTCGGTCAAACGCTGCCCCACCACCATCGAACCCGACCGCCCTTCCACCGCGAGACGCAAACGCGGCTCAACTGTCCGAAACGCGGTAGTTTATGCCCACGACCATGGTAGTAGGAGGTACGCCACCTATATTATATTATTATATATACGATTATATAATATGGCGTGGCTAATGGATTTTCGGGACACGCCGCGACGACAACAGACGTAGATACAGGAAATTTATCGTCCGACTGCCCGCCCGAACACCCCGCGCCACCGTATTGTATTTAGGTATTGTATGCGTATAGGTGCAACTGTAAACCTACCTACGAATTGTGTTTCACCTCGTGGACGCCACATCGTGTGGACTATAGATTTACAGATAACCCGGTGTAGCGATGGTTTAGTTTGCTGTGAAATGAATGTTTTTTCTTCGCTGCTCTCTCTCTCACTCTCTCTCTCTCTCTCTCTCTCTCTCTCTCTGTCCATCTATCCCCGTCTTTCTTTCCAATATTGTCCAGTCACACACAGACATTCTCCGCGGGACCAATTTTTTTGCCTGCCAGTACAATATCTATATAGTGCATAGCATACACGTTACTGTTTACAAAATCCGTCGACAATGGAGACGTTTCAATAGCACTTTCGTGTAATGTTTACACGCTTATTTACTTTTTCTCACGATTTACACGCCGAAACGGAGGATAGAGCTTATCGCGTGTCTCGGAAGTTCACCACTCTTTTTATTTCTAAAAACACGATGACATATACGAATTTTCACGAAACTTTAACAACTTAATTATATTATTAGGAACTGTCTAATAAACTGTCATACATTTATATTATAGTTACAGTATAATAATAAACCTATCCAACGTAGGTACATAGTTGTATTACATTTGTTTACTGATTCATCTACCCGTATCAAACCTTTGTTTGTTTTTAAGGAATTTACATAGACGTCAAATACAATAGCCGTCCGCTTTTAAAGAACAAGAAAAAATGTCACCATCGTATAATAGTTATTCGGTTTTATAATCGTCTACATGTCTACATTATAAATATATTGAAACAATAAACAAAATGGTTTTTGACTAATTGAGTGGAAATAGCTTTGGAATTAATCATTACTGACTCAACTGGCTGTGAAATGCATTTTTAATAAAATGAACGACTTAAATCATTTCAACAGGTATCATACACAAAACATTTTTAGTTGAGATTCTGTTCAAAAGTATTTTAATTTAGTGCGGTACTCCTTTTACTCAAAGGTGGCAGTAAAATAATATTGCAGTTGTAATATCGTATTCTGTCTGCTCTATTGTCTCTTTTCTGTAAAAATACAATCATCTGTTCAAAGCTACTTATTTTCGTAATCAGATTTGCAAAAATCTTACTGCCAGCTTTTATGTAAGAGAACTTAAAAAATATATATGATTAATAATCAAGATCTTCCTGATAAAATACGGTGGTTTTAAATCAACTGCAAAAGATCAAAGGGAATGACTTAATATAGGTACTAATAAAAAATATATATATGGATGTATTGACATTATTTTGCTGATGATATTGGCGATTTGAACATCAATGTTGATTGGAGGCATATTAAATGTATATGTATCGACGATTATACATTATTTTACAAACAAAACAATTTATTCACCAAGATAAATATCATTGAAATAATATTATACCACGCGTTATCAACGGTCATAACCTTCTAAGCATCTGTGAAATTTATTCAAAACGAGTTTTAAGTAATCTGCAACACAATAAATATAATATGAGTTTATTAATTTAGAATTTGTTATTGTTATTTATCATAAATACTATTTGCATTAATTGTTTTACTATAAATTAATAATAGATAATTGTTTGGTGATGCTTTATGACAACTATCAATAAATAAATATTGAATTAGAGAGAATAAAATTATAAAAATTGAAATAGTATAATTGAGTACTTACGTATGGTAATATTAAAACTTATAAATGACTTGTTAATGAAATGATTTAAATCATATAACAAAAGTAAATAATGACTAATGAATTTAATAATTATGATTGCTACTTTAGAGCACATTTTCAAAAATGTAACTGAATTTGTATGGGCATTAAATATTTTTTTGCATAGATACAAGTGTATTAACAGTTTGAAAATATTCAGAATAACAAATTATGCATTTCCGATAAATGCGTTTACGTCTCACGTTATAGTAAACATGGATATAAATTTAAGGTTCTTTATTGTTTTAAAAAATGTAGTTCATCAAATTGGTGTCATTAGAGTAGGAAAGATTTTAATTACCATAATAATATAAAGCATTATTACATAATATATTTTAGTACAATCGAAAAACGCATAATCTGAGCCAATCTCAGATGACCAACAATTTTTTTTTTTTTTTATGACTACCATTATACTGACCCGCGTATTTTTAAACATAAATTAAGTACTAACCTCCTAAAAGTACAAACTCTGCTGAGTTACCAATGTGTAGTCAGTTTTCGCAATTTTTTTTGCATTTTACTGTCTCCCCCAAAAAAACAGCAAACAAAAAATATAATAATATAAAACAAGCATAATATAAAGTATAATATTATACACATTATTATAAATTTGTAAGCCGATACACCAGTTGTCTTATGTGAATCTAAAAAAATGTGTAGAAATATTGACAAAAAATACTATGGTTGAATCTTAAAATATTAAACAAAAAAAAAATCAATAATTATCATCGTTGAACATCTGGTACCTACTACTTTTTATATAACAATTCTATATATTATAACCCTTCGAAGTGTTATTTACAAATTTGAATTTAAAGCAAGTGGAACTCGATAAATGTGGGGCCTAAGAAATCAAAATATCATTTGCATTTTATTCTATAGTTTATATACAATGTAAAATCAAAAATTATCATTGTCATATATAATTTATATTATTATACATCCTCAAATTTAATTAACATCATACAAATACAAAAAAAATATTTTAGTTTTTAATAAGCGTTATATATTCTCCATACGTAATATAAATATATACATTATTCAATTAGTCATCTTGGAATATTGTGTTAATATTGTGTACATCCGTACAATATACATAATGATGACATCCATATAACATAATTATTATTTTGTTAATTATTATTCGTTTACATAACAGACGAAAAAAAAAGCAAGTTATATTTCCTATTTTCTTCTCGTATTTGAATTCTGATTATGATTTTATAAAATAAAATAAATAAAACTGCCGTTTTAATTAAACTTTTGAAAAAGTTTTTTTTTTCAAAGATTAACATTTTAGTAATTTAGAACCTAGAATATGAGTATTACAATTAAAATTAATAGATGATAACATAAAAAAAATAATATGTACCTTTGTTTTAGATATTATGCTGTGGCCTGTGAGTTATGATATTTCTAGTGATGGAAGACTGCCTCAGCGCTGTTCATGTATGTAAAATCACAATAAAATGAACTAATTATTTTGCAAAATAATTTGACAAAAAGTAATTATATTCATATTTGAGTTACTAAAAATAAATATTGTAACAAATATTTTTTTTCAATCTATATAATAGTTGCTTTTATTTTAATACACCAAGAATTCACAAATTTTCTAGTAACATTTTTATTTATCGCGTTAAAAAGTTGGTCAAGGACAGTGGTAGAAAGATGTCCTTTACTTTCAAAATGTATGAGAGTACCCTCTTTATTACTTTTGTATTTTATTCAGTGCACTTAACTGAGCTAATATTTAACTCAAACATATGATATTATCACTCGGACTGATATTCTGCACGTTTTGTTGACTCAACAAAATTGGCTATCGTCTGAAAATTGAAAACTCCCATAACTGGACACACCCATTCGTTTCTATAGACTTTACCTAGATATGTATTTTACGATCACCTATTGTGCTATGCTCAATCGACTGTAAAAGACGTAAAAACATAACACAATACATCAACGTGGCTTACAATGAGTAATCTACATTTGAATACGCCATCCCCCGCAATGTTATGTTAAACAAAACCCATATTTGCATCCCTGAATTACGTCAGATCCTTATCCATACACGTCTGAGTACCTACCTTGAAAATTCCTTTTCGATTTTACAGAAATTTCCACTAATATTGAGTGGTTTTGAAACGATTCCATTCCTAATCCTCTTATAACGTTTATGAATTATAATTGCAATACTGCACAACCGCAATCGACTTCATTAACAAAGCTCTACCAGAACATTGTAAAATTTATAATAATAAGTTTCCTGAAGATTTAAGTGGTCGTATGAAAATCTTAAATCCGATAAATTCAATGAAATCTTATAAACGGTAATATTAGATTGATATTATACAAGTCTATAATTTTATCCTGTGCAACATAATATAAATATATGATAAGATCGACTCTCTATCCATTAACTTTTTCGACGGTATTAATCTTGTCATGAAGTATATATAATATTAATATTAACAGAAGAAACTGAGTTTTTGTTATTAATAACTGATTCGGCCAGAAGTCTTTGAAAACAAATAGTTTTATTGTGTTGATTTCATTAAACTCGCAGTTATAATGGACAATTATTTCAACCAGTGAAAACACGTTAAAATCGAATATACATAAACTCTATGAAGTCGTTGAAATCTAACACCAACAGTGTCTAACACTTGTACAAGGTTTGTTATTTGATATTATTTTCTCATAATTTTTAATATTAATTAAAATAACATATTTTGTTTAAATAGGTAACTTAAATTGAAACTCGATACTATATAAAGTAAAAACTATGTTTAACTGTACTTATAACCGTTATGATACAGACATTTAAAATTCCTAATATTTAATCACTAAACGTCAAGTGTTTTTATCATACCAGTTTTGATCATTAAAAGTTACATCATATTATGTATTGTATTCTAATTTTGAATTATGTGTTGGGATGTGCTGATATTTGTATTTATTGTAATAAAAATAATAATAATTGTATACCAGGTATAAATTGAGGTATTGTTTTTTGTTTAGCTATACACAGGTACTAAAAATTATCAAATATATGAATATTATAAAAGCTCCAAATTCAATTTCAACAATATTAATACTCTATTCGGTAAATATTTTAAATAAATCTGAATCAAAACAGTATCTTCTGTTTAGCTTTAATAAATTAAAGTACGAACATTAATAAAATATTAAAAATATAGTATTCATTTTATTGTACAAAATTCAATTTATGGCAGTTATAATTCACCGGTTGCACATATTTTTTTATTGTGTGGCTAAAAACTACTTTTATTTAACAAAAATATACATTATGGAGTTAGTATAACACGCAATGTGCGATGACATTTTTTATATTTAAATAGTGGCTATGCTGCACATGAATGATGCTAAAACAGTGATTAAAAAACTACGGTCCTTGCGTCTAATCATATTTTGATATATTTAATGTTCATTTATTTTCAAACTATGACTTACCAACAACATGCACCCCTAAAATACACGAAAAACAACTAATACCAAAATTCAGGCTACAAATAAATAATTACAGAAATAGGTTCATAATGTTTATGAAATGCATCGTTCATTTCTAAGCTTGATATATGAACAATTTGTAATTATAATTGTAGTAAATAAATCATTTAATAAACTATTAACAGTAAATAAATCATTAAATAAACAATTATTAACAACGATTCAACGATGATATAATCATGGTTTATAAATATGTATATCAAGAGAGTAACGTTTTTCCTTCAATCCTCTTCCATATTGTTTAAAATGAGCTAATACACAACTTCACACATTACATCAACGTCTTAGAATTAAACAGCAGTACTGTATATATGTCAACAGTGACTTACATAACGTCGTGTTAAATATTTTTATAAATATAGGTGAATGAATGTATTACCGTTTTAATACATAAGAAAACATTATAACTATAATTAAATCATTTTGAAAATACATATAGTTTTGAGTCCATTTTTTTCCTATAAAATTAAGAAAAATTATTTCAAAAATTGGTATTAGTTTAAATTGTATAATAATTTTATTTTACTATTCTACAATAACTAGTTGGTACATAATATTATACAATACATAATATATAGTACATATGTGTCACTTGCATTTAATGTCTGTACCTAATTGTTATTTTCACATTGAAATTTAATTCGTGAAATGTAAAACGTCGGGCCATGTGTGCATAATTCATTTTAAAATAATGTACCAATTTAGCCTTAAAGTGAAATAAAAACCTATTTTTTTACCTATTGGTTAGTGAAATAACAAAAATAAATAACATGGTACGTATTTATTAAATTTTTTTAATTTTTTTGAAACAGATGAAAATTATTTAGCGTAGTGTTATTTTTTAACCAAATATGCATAAGTTATACTTGCACAATCGAAATGAACACAAAAGTATAACTTTTTGTATAAATTCCTATCCACTTTGATATTGTACGCAATATGTCATTCAATAATAAATAAACTGTATTCAATATAATACAACAGGCAGTTGAATATTGTTTGAATATTAGAATACCACATAGATAAAAATTAGATAGAAATTCTTTACATTGTCTTAGATTATTTCCATTGAAGTATAAAAACAAAATGATTCCCATACTGTCTGCATACCTATTAATACTTAATTTATTCTGTCAAATAAGTATTTCCCTAAGTTATAAACTAATGAATTGTAATTGATGGTAAATTATTACAACCATGCTATGTGTAGACTGTACTCAACGTGCAAGACAGTCTCTGAAATTTAAAATTTAAACAATATAATTTTTTTATCTACCTAAGTATTGTTTTGTATTCGAAATTCGAATACACATTTACGTTAATATAATAGTATAAATTTGAATTGAATATAATCCAACAGACACAAAGTCGCAGATGATGCACATAACATACATAATAATATGTATTACATTTTAACTTTTACCCTTCAAAATCATATTTAGAAAAATGTTATCACCCTTGGCTGGAATTTCGCTATACCATTTACATAGCGGAATAATATGTATAACACAGGGAGTGCTTTAAAATTTGAAATATTTACGGTATTATATTTATTGTACCCCGGAGTGCAATTCGTCAGTGCTATTTCCTGCCTTCTTTGTTATAAATTCAATAGATTTCCCCGATTTATAAGACTCGTTATTGGAATTATTATTCAAAAAAAAATTTAGAATTGTTCGTGAAAAAAAATATTAGTATTTGATTTTTTTCCCAAAAAAAATGAATGTTTAGTAATGGATAAATTTTTTTCCAATCATCTCAATTCAGTTTAATATTACTGCAGCAGCTATCGATTTCGTTTTATAGAAGACAATCTTTTCTGTCATCAGAATTTTCTAACCTATATTTTTGATTCAATTTTCCATGTTTTTAATCTAATGGCTGTGTAATCATACGCATACTTGTTGTATTGTTGAATAAACAACAATTATATTCATGAACACGTATGCGACACACCTATAACAATATACAAGGCCAAAGTTTCTTGTTTCGTGTACAAACTGTAACAAATTATTCGGCAGCATTAGATATTAACAGTTTTAATTTAATTCATTTATTTTATAAATTACAAGTGTGCTGAAAACGTATAATATATTATTTGAATAGCTAATATCCATTATTTTATTATTTTATTTTAAAAATAAAAACGACACTGATTTAATGCGATAAAAATACTGCAATCACAACACGGCTTTCTGAACCTAATTAATATTAATTAATCCAAACAATATTATGAATAATTTCATTGCATTTAAAAAACTTTTCCTTTTGAATGTTTACCGTGACAGTGAAAACATTCAGCCTTCAGACATCAATCACTGACATAGGTCTTTAGATGTATTCTGTTATTGAATACCATACAGTCTATGCAGCAGAACTAGTTCCTAGGTTTTTTATTTCAGGATAAAGTTTATAACCCTCCTAACCAATCTCGAAATAAAAGTCTGGATTATGGAGGCATGTTCCTGGTATGATCCCTAGGGCCCCCACCAACATAAATCCAACTCTGCCTATGGTAAACTATCGAACAAAATACTTATCATAATTTACTATCAAAACAATGAACGATATTTTAATTTTAAAAGTCTAGTGTTCATACTATTAGATTACTTACTATACTCTTTATTCTTATAGAGTTTGTCAGTTTATAGCCTATATGAATCCCGATGGAGTTATATTTGACACGGTAAATAATACTATATGCTTTATTGATTTATTTTTAAATATCTATCGGAATTAACATTAAACATATGTTTAATAGGTATTTAAAATAAACTTTCAATCAGTTAAATGCACAGATACATGAAGGTTAATATAAACGTGTTTGTTATTATACTCTGTAAGATGAAATCGTTACCCCGAACCCGATGGTTGAAAACTTTAAAAGGCAACAAGAAACAATCAAACTAAAAGTTAGTAAAAATTTCGATAGGTACCTATATATATTTCAAATAATGGATGTATATTATAC